TTTTTTTTTTTGGTTTTTCGAGACAGGGTTTCTCTGTGGTTTTGGAGCCTGTCCTGGAACTAGCTCTTGTAGACCAGGCTGGTCTCGAACTCACAGAGATCCGCCTGCCTCTGCCTCCCAAGTGCTGGGATTAAAGGCGTGCGCCACCACCGCCCGGCCCCACCTCCAGTTTGATAGACAAGTGAGGGCACACGCTCTGTCAGCGTGAATCCAGTCCTTAGGGTCATTTTGTTTGGGAATGCTGACAACCTAATAACATGCTTGGCACAACTAGTCAGCTCGTGATTGTGGACTCCAAGAGTCTAGGGGGGAAGGTAACTGAGACCCCAGATAGAGACAAAAAGGACTCCCCAAATCTCTAGGGACCAGGGCCTCTTGGGTTCCGCCCGCTCAGGACATCTTCCTACTACATACCTATTCCGTTCCTCTCCTCAGTGTCTCTGAGCAAAGAGCCCTTCCTGCCTTCTCCCCATTGATTCAAATTCTGGACCCTTCTTGTCAAACATTTTTTTTCCAGTCTCTTGATTGACAACGTATTTGTATTTTCCTTTAAATTATTTTTTGACCAACTTTGTCCTGATGCCTTTAAATGTTTTAAATTCTATTATTATTAGTATGTGCTGGGGCGGGGGGTGGGGGGAAGAGGGAGTATCTTTCCGAAGTTGACTCTCTGTTGAAGCCCGTGTGGGTCCAACACAGATAATTATCTTCCCTAACTGGACTGAAACGGAGTCACGAGGAATAATCAGACACAACTTACATGGTCGTCATGGAAGGGCAAGATCTCTCGAAGATGTCCTCCTGTTTATTATCCAAACACCTTATATATCATCACATAAATTGAGGAAGGGGCACATTAGACTGTCTCCTAGGCAACCAGGTGAATAGGCTTTAGTCATGTCTGCAAGTGGGCCATAAATTAGCATCTCTATAAGACATCCTCCAAACATCCTGACCATTGTTAGGCAGAGACAGCTTGTCTGCAGAGCTCCGTGAGCAGCTCAGACCGGGCCTATGGCTTTTATGCCTGGCTGCCACACCATACAGAAATATGGGCCTACAACTCTCAGGGTCAAGCTTGTACAACAAGCGCCAGCACACCAGCATTCTTTGTTTGAATGAGTTCTTGTATGATTTGCCTCCTGGCAAGACTGTGTGACACAGGCCTTTTCTTGTTTCCCCTTGGCAAGAAGTACAGACCCAGGCCAGGTGATGGGAGGCAGAGACAAGCAGGTCTCTGTGAGTTCGAAACCAGCCTGGTCTACAGAGTGAGTTCCAGGACAGCCATTGACACTGAAAAACTCTGTCTCAAAAATAAATAAATAAATAAACAAACAAACAAATCTTTCAGAGCCCCCTGGCCAGACACGGGAGCACAAACCTTTAATCCCAGCGCTCCAGAAGGAGAGGCAGGTGGAGTTCATGAGTTCCAGCGCAGCCCGGCCCACATCTCAGTAGCATGGCTGAGTGCTCACCAGCGAGTACAAGGTCCTGGGTGCTGTCTCCGGCATCACAACAGAATCTCAGGACCCCAGAGTTGCCTCTCTCCAGCCTCATTGCTCCTCCCTGACCCTGACTCCCATGATGCTGCCGTCATCCTGTTACTATGCCCCAGAGAGGCCAAGATCATCTGAGAAGCTGTTTCTGAAGGTCCTTAAAGCTCATGCCTCCCCTGTGACGCTTCCAGAATCTTCGCTCTTCTCTCCCGCATCCTTCTTGCTCCCGTTGTGTAGCCAGATCTGATTCCCATCCCAAAGCTAGTTCTAGGCCTTTTCCTTCCCCACTGAAATATGGCTTGTCTTTATCACCAGGGTGCGTCATGCCGGAAGTGGGCGGATCCTGGAAGTATACACCACCCAGCCTGGGGTCCAGTTTTACACTGCCAATTTCCTGGATGGCACTCTGAGGGGCAAGAATGGAGCGGTCTACCCCAAGCACTCTGGCTTCTGCCTGGAGACCCAGAACTGGCCTGATGCGGTCAATCAGGTAAAGCCGCAGGCTGGTTTGTCAGGGTCGCGCTGATCTGGCGTCACACAGTGTGGCAGATCCCAGCACTCGAGTCCACGTTTCTGTTTTTCATTTTATACAACCACAAAAAAGCCCACAGCCAAGGAACTGTCGTTAAAAGCTCAATTTTTGGCTGGGCAGTGATGGTGTTCACCTTTAATCCCAGCACTTGGGGAGGCAGAGGCAGTCCAATCTCTGTGAGTTTGAGGTCAGCCTGGTCTACAGAGCAAGTTCCTAGACAGAGAAACCCTGTCTCGAAAAACTAAAAACAAAAACAAACAAACAAAAATCTGCACTTTCTGGGGGAGGGGTGTTTGGACAGGCTCGTGCCATGAAGGTCAGAGGATGACTTTTAGGGGTCAGTTCTCTTCCTCCGTATGGGCTCCAGTGGTAAGACTCAGGCTGTCAGCCTTGGCCTCAAGCTCCTTTACCCGCTGAACCATCTTGCCAGCCCACACCATCTACGAGACCTCCAAAGCCTTTCTTCTCATTTCCTCTCTACTTGCTACTTAGGGCACTGCTGCTCAGACTGTCAGTCATGGGAAGGAGCTTGTGTCTTACTTCAGAATATATGTCAAGGCATTGCTTCCTGTAGCCAGATCGTGCTTTGACAAAGTAGACGTGGTGCTGAGGTAGATCTTCGTTCATTTCACTGCAAATCAGCAACACTCTGTCCTCACTGGCACCAGTCCACAAATGTGGCTTCAGGGCTTAGTGCAGGGGCACACCCCATGTGACTGTTGGTACAGCCCTGATGGCTGGCCAGGTCTAAGTGCTGTCCCCATGTGACTGTTGGTACGGCCCTGATGGCTGGCCAGGTCTAAGTGCTGTCCCCATGTGACTGTTGGTACGGCCCTGATGGCTGGCCAGGTCTAAGTGCTGTCCCCATGTGACTGTTGGTACGGCCCTGATGGCTGGCCAGGTCTAAGTGCTGTCCCCATGTGACTGTTGGTACGACCATGATGGCTGGCCAGGTCTAAGTGTTGATTTCCTCCACAGCCCCAGTTCCCCCCTGTGCTGCTGCATCCTGGGGAGGAGTACAACCACACCACCTGCTTCAAGTTCTCTGTTGCTTAAAGAAGGCTGAAGATGCCACCCGGTCCCTCCCATCCTGGTGAAGACAGAGAAGCATTAAAAGTGATCCTGCGTGTTAAGTCGCTACCATAATAGTCAGCTTGAATACTGATTTCCTTTTCCAACAGCTGGCTTCAGGCCATGTCTCATGACCAGCTGTGTTCTCTGTCTAGGTCAGAGGACAAATTCACTCTGCTACCAGTGCCTTCTTCTAGGCCTGACCCTAGTGGAAAAGTGGCCCTCTAGACTCTAATAGCCTCCATCTCTCCAGCTGCTGTCTTTAAGCCTTCCTTCCTTTGATGGAGCTCCTTGTTTTTCTGTCTCCTCTTTTACCACCAACGCAATCCACATCAGACTACCCTTCAGAAGTTAGTAAAACAGTTTTAACCCCAACTTGAGTTCAAGCTATGAGAATTCACCTCCTCTGTGCCTCTCTCTACCTCAGTCTGCCTAAACATTCCTAGGGTCACTGAAGGGCAAGGAGGGGTTTGGAGCCTGCTCTGTCACAGCCTCTCGTCTCAGACTTACTTTAGGGGCATCAGGGGTGACTCAGCAGTGAAGAACACACACTGCTCCTGCAGAGGACCAATTTAGCTCCCAGCACCCAGATCAGGCTCACAGTTGCCTCTAACTCTAGCTCCAGAGGATCGGGTGCCCTCTTCCACACCCGTATGCACACAATTCAAAGTGAGTCTTTTTTTTTTTTCTTCTTGAGGAGTTTATTGAGAGTAGGTTAAAGGGGAGGGAAGAGAGAAAGAGATACAGAGAGGAAGAGGAGGAAGGACTAGCCTACCTCTTCAAAAGAGCAGCGGGAAAAGAGTAAAAGTAAATCTTAGAGATTAAAAAAGATTCACTTTAGAACCCCTAGAGTGAGTTGAGCTATCTTTCCATGGTGTGACTGAAATTGTAAGATCCAAATGTCCAGAAGGATTTAGATTTTCTGCCTTTGGGGTTAACTAGAAGCCCGGCTAGTGTGTGAGAAGCTACACAGGCCTGAAGGGCGGCAGATGAGGGAGAACACCTCACACTAACAGTGCCTGGAGGATTGAACTTGGCACGAGGAGCAGAGGCGACGTAGAGATGAAATGGCCAGAGACCCCTCTTTCCTCAACGATTGCATCATTGGTGATGGGCTTAGGAGCGCTGATTCGGAAAAAATATAGTTTATGTTATTATCTGCTACAGGCAGTTGAAATAAAACCAGAATTTCACCTTCAGGAAACTCTTCTTCATTTGTGTGTGTGTGTGTGTGTGTGTGTGTGTGTGTGTGTGTGTGTGTGCATGCATGTGTGCATGCGTGTGTGCGTGCGTGCATATGCACATGTTTATACACTCCTGTGAGGCTAAGGAGGATTTGGAACATCTTCATGTTCCCTCTCCATCCATTCCCTTGAGTCATTCCTCTCCCTGACCCTGAGCTCACTGTTTTTCAGCGTGGCTGGCTGCCAGAAAGCCTTGTCTGTCCTCACAGGTTACAGGTGTGCACGACTGTACCCAGCCTCGTTATGTGGGTGCTTGTGGTTCACTTGGGTGCCCATGCAGGCACCGCAAGCACGGTTACTCACTGAGCCATGTTCCCAGCCTTCATCCTCTCACCTGTACAAAAAGGGACAAGATGAATACACGTCTGCAGAGAAGACCTAAAATCGAGAGAGAAATCAAGTTCTTTTTCTTCCGGCCTGGGACCCTCCAATGATGGTGGAGCATGAGGAAAGGGTGGACAACAAATGCTTAAGTTGACCAGAGCCCTAAGGAACAAAAACTAGGAGCCCAGAGCTGTGGCCTTGTTCCTCTTCTGCACTGCACTTGAACAGACACAAGCCAAACACATCATTGCTCAGAGCTCCTACTTCAAATTAAGCAAAACTGCCTCCCTCCATACGGGTTTAGTTCATTCCAGGTATAGTCAAGTTGCCAGCTGAGGGCGGCCATCACAGGTAGTAAAGAATCCCAGGAGAGAGGACTCCTGCCGGTTGAGCTGCCTGAGAGATGCCTTGCACCTGCAATTTGAATATATTGTGGTCAGCAGAATAAGGGTGGGTATGGGGCTCCATTGGTAGGGTGCTTGCTTAGCACGCACGGGGACCGGAGTGGGGCTTTAATAGCTTTGCTGAGCCCCACGGTGGAACATGAGCTTTAAAAGGTAGGGGGCTCTGGTGAACCTAGGTGACTCAGAGTGGCATATAAATCAGATTCATACAGTGCTAGAACAATCACAAGGAGAGAGGGGAGAAAAGAAGCAAGCAATGTCAGGGTCACCTGAACGCAGAATGTGGCAACATTTGTGTAGGGCTACAGAAGAAAATAAAAATTGACAGCTCAGTTCAGTGAAAGCCTAAGAACCATTCATGCAGGGAAGAGAACACAAATGAAAAAGGCAAAGTTTATCCCAGGGATGGGATGGGCGGTTACCCATCCCTCCAGAATAACCTGCGCACTTTTCTCTCCTGCAAGAGCGTGTACCGAAGATGGAAATAATTATACATTAAGGCCAAGGCATGTCTGATAGAGGCAGCAGACCTAGCCACCAGCTAAGAGCCAATCAGTGCTGGGGAGCCACATGAAGCAGCAAACAGGACTTGCGTCTGTGCCAGCCCCCACTGAATCTTCTTGAGGAGAGAAGCTGCGTGACAGCCTCATGGCAGTTCCCAGGATAAGGCAGGCAGCTCATGGAGCATGACTAGATAGTATAATGTTAAACGAGGTGGGACTTCCCATTTATACCCCTGTACCCCACATTCACCTCTTGAGAAAAAAACTGCTAGACTATGACATGTGAGGGCCCGAGTTTGAATCTCTAGGATTCCCAGAATGCCCCGTGCAGTAGTACGCCCCTGTAATCCCAGTACAGAATCCCCAGAAGCTTGTGAGTCAGCTAGCCTGGTGCAGGCAGCAGCAAATAGTTTGTCTCAAACAAGGCCTGAGGAGAGCTGCCCTGGGACCCCCACGGCATGCAAGTATGCAGTGTGCTTGTACACACACACATCAGCATAACAATCATAAAAATCTGTAGTATCTAACAACAAAGCCTTTGGATGCTTTCATTCAATAATCATGGCTAGAGGCGTGAGTCGCCTTAGTACTGGGTCTAACTTAACAATTTTCCTGTGATACACTGCTTCAGAGTTCCTGAAAGATAACGTTTAGGGTTTTTTTTTTTTTTTTTTCCAGTTTGTTATTTCTTTTAGCACAGTGACCTCTACTGGTACAGATGTAAATTAACACATGGTTTCTGCTGTTTCATAGACTGGTGCTTGGGCTAGAGAAATCTAAGTCAGCCCCTTAGCTTCTCTGTGTTCCACCAGGCTAATATGGGTTCCCAGTTAGGAAACAGAGGAGAGGCCCAGTGCAGTAGCTTCCAGTTGTTAAGATAACTGAGAGGCTTTTGCACTAGCCCATTGGGTTTTAAGGAGGAATCTTTGCAAGGGCCCTAAATGATCCTATTGCAAACAAGGTTAAGAGCAATTGCCCTACCAGTTTTTCTTACGCGTCTCAGTGTGGTCACCAGTATTGCAGATACCAAGTACACAATGTGTTTACTCCCTAATTTACAAGCACTGTCTTCATGAGTAAGCCGCAGAGAACAGTCTTCCAGTCCAGAAGCATTATCTTGGTGTTCCGGTCAGGGTCACTACTGCTGTGATGAAACACCATGACCTAAAGCAACTCAAAGAGGAAAAGGTTTGTTTGGCTCATGCTTCATCACCACTTTCGTCATGGAAGAAGACAGGACAGGGACTCAAGCACGGCAGGAACCTGGGGACAGGAGCTGGTGGAGGCGCCATGGACGGTGCTGCTTACCCTTGCTCTCTCTATGGCTTCTTCAGGCTGCTTTCTTTCTTTAATTAAAATGGTTTATTTATTGTACATCCTGACTGCAGTTTCTCATCCCATTCCTTCCCTTTACCTTTCCTCTGCCCTGCCTCCCCAATCCAGCCCTCCTCCACCTCTGTTCAGAAAGGGGCAGGCCTCCCATGGGTGCCAACAAAGCATAGCATATCAAGCTGAGGTAGGACTAAGCTGCTCCCTTCGTTTTAAGCCTGGGCAAGGCAACCCCGCATTAGGAACAGGTTTCCAAGAGCCAGCCAAAGTGTTGGGAACAGGGCCCACTCCCACAGGTAGAGCAAGCCACACAACCATCACACACATGCAGAGGGCCTAGGCCTGTCCCACACGGGCTCCCTAGATGTTGGTCCATAGTCTGTGAGCGCCCATGAGCAGATTATGATGATCCTGACCCCCCTGGCTTGTACAATCCTTCCTCTCTCTCCTCAAGGTTCCCTGGGCTGGTCCCAGTACTTTGTTGTAGATCTATCTCTACATCTGTTTCCATCAGTAACTGGATGAAGGCTCTCCGATGACTATTGGAGTAGTTACCAATCTGACTACAGGAGATGGCCCGTTTACAGTCTACTTTCTTACAGAACCCAGGGATGGCACTACCCACAGTGTGCTGCGTCTGCCCACATCTGTCACTCACTAAGAAAATGCCCTATAGGCTTCCCTGCAGCCAAATCTTGAGGCATTTTCTCAGTCGAGGCTCCCTTCTCTCTTAGGGCCCTGGCTTGGGTCAGACTGACATGAAACCGGCCAGTACACAAGGGAAACTGGCAGTGGCAACTCTACCAATGATCCTGGCCCTCTACCTCTTCACAGATACTCGTTTTAAAATCTGGAAAGTTATCAATGTCTAAAGCGGGGGTTGACAAATACTCTGTTAAATCAACACGAGTTGATTTATGTGGTAATGGCCCAGCCCTGCCACTGCAGCACAAAGTCACTGGCAGACATGACAGTGACCTCATGTAACTGGATCATCTTTTAAGTCATAGGCAGTTGGTAAATGAGACCATGAGTATATTCCAATAGACCTTTAAGGATTTTACAGTTTGAATTTCACTAATCTGTCACAAACGTTGACACTTCCGAGTGTTCAACCACTTCAAATGTTAAACTTTCTACAAATCGGAAGCAGGCTGAATTTGACTTAAAGGTAACCCAGGTTGTCACTATTTCCTCAAGGTGTGGATGAGAATGCGGAGGTCACGTGGAGATCAGGAGACAGCGGAAGAAGCTGGCTCTCTCCTTCCACCTCCTTGATTCTGCGGGATTGAACACTGGTCATTTGGCGTGTCTTCACCTGTGGAGCCCTCTCCCCAGCTGGGAAGAAACTTTGTTTGACCCACACCAGTTGTGTTAGTACAATGTTGAGTGGGGAGGGCTGACTTTGGTTTAGTTGGAGGGTACAGTCCTTCACACTAGGGATGGATATGGTGACAGACAGGAAACCGATAAATTCTGGGGCATCATTTGTCCTTTGTATTCAGCCTGGCCCCAACCTATAGAATGGTTGCCTATTTGGTGTGAGTCTTCTCAAGTCAAACCCATTCTGGAAAGTCCCTCAGATATGCCAGGTCTGTCACCTGTGTGGTCCTAGGATCAAACTCTGGTGTCAATCCTTTGAGCAAGCATCTCTACCCAAGGAGCCATCTTACTGGCCTTCTTTTGGGCTTATTGGGAGGTCTCATCAACATAGGCCATGATTAAATTCATTGGCTATTGGTGGTCATCAATACAATCTTCTGGTCCTCTTCCTTCCCTGGACTGTGGGAGGATGGGAAGGAAATCCCAACCCTGTAATTATTTATTCATCTTGAAGCCTATCTAGGGGTCTCTAGCATAAGTCAATTTACCATGCATTAAAAGATACAAAACAAAAGCATAATTTTTGGAGATTTCACGGGGTTTGGAAAGGTTTTAGATTTGTGCCAGGATATGGAAGAAAACTATTTCAGAACGACAGTGACCTAAATTGTATCTTAGTTGGAAAAGGAAGAGTGAGCTGTCAGTGGCCTCTGGGACAGTGCTGACGGTCCTTCCCACACAGGATGAGGTAACTGACCATTTTCCTTTCCCTCAGCTCACATAGTTTTATCCCTGAAGATAGATTGAGACCGGTCTCATCATGTAGCCCTGGCTGGCCTGGAATTCACTATGTAGATCAAGCTGGTCTTGAATTCAGAGATCTGCCTCCCAAATGCTGGGATGTGCAGGGTTTTTTTTAATGTCTTGAAACCTTATTGTTGTCTAGAATTCTTTTTTTGTTTCAATTCTCAGCAACCACATGGTGGCTCACACCCATTTGTAATGAGATCTGGTACCTCCTTCTGGCATGCAGGCATACATGTCTACATAATAAAATAAATCTTTAAAAATGTTAAC